GTAACACGTGGATCGTCTATTCCTTTTACATACATGAAAGCCAGTTACAAATGACAAGTAAGTTCGTTCGTCATGATCTTCAGCATCGTCCTTATCATCACTATATCATCGTCATTATCATCCTCATCATCCTCATCATTATCATCCTCATCATTTTCATCGTCATCATTTTCAACAACAGCATCGTCATCAATACCACCACCATCATCATCACCTTTATAATCGTAACATGGCGTCAGCAGGTGATTCTGGCCGAAGCCCCAAGAGAAGGTGTGGCCTAAAAAATGATTGATCGAGTGATTGATTGATTGAGTGATCGATTGATTGAATAGATTGACTGATTAAAAAACGAATAAAAGAACGGCTAAATGGACTAACAAATGGATGGACAGATCGTATTAGATGAAAGAGAGAATATTTTGTAACGAAAATATGAAAACTTAATTGATAGAACTAAACTGGCGTCATTATAATCAGCCCCACCACCACCACCATCATCACCACCAACATCACTATTATCTCCACTATTACCATCATCACCACTACCATCACCATTATCTCCATCATCACCACCACCATCTCCACCACCACCATCGTCATCATCTCACCAGGGGTATCGAACTCCGGTATCACCCTGATGCCTCGGAGTCTGGCCTCCTCAATGACCGTGGCAATGTCCTCGTGGGTGTATATGTGGGTTACAGGGTCGTACGCCCCCTGATGATGATGATGATTATATAGTACACGCACACACACACAAATAAACACACGCAAAGACGTGAGTACAGAAATATGGATTTTGAGAGCAATCAAAAAAATTACATCCATCTGATTTTGTTGGCAACTGCCACTTACGAATGTGTGTATGTGTATACAATCTATACACATACACTCTCTTTCTCTCTCTCTCACACACACACAAACAAACACACACATATATATATATATATACATATATATATATATATATATATATATATATATATATATATATATATATATATATATATATATATAATATTAAAGACGGTGTAATATATTTCTTACATAATTATTACACTAGGTGCAAATTATTTTCTTTATGTTATATAGGATTTGAATATCAGTACTACTACTACTACTATTACTATTACCACCACCAATAATAATAATAATAGCACTTAAGGCATATGGTTAAGTGTTTCTCATGAAATTTTCAACTTCAAATAAATAAATAAATAAGGCAGCTATAAATAAATCAAATTTTATTATTATTATTATAATTATTATTGTTGTTGTTGTTGGTTGTTGTTCTTATTTTGAAAATTCTCATTAAATTATTTCTCAGAGGTATCAACGACACACACACGCACACACACACACACGCACACACACACACACACGCACACGCACACACAAACGAACGTTGATCGAATGGATGGGGTGGGGGGGGGTGAATTTTTTAAAATTGTCGCAATGTTGATCGGGAGAGCGACATTTGTAGCTGACGACCTCTTTTTTCATTTTTTCGCCAAAAGACGAGCAACACCTCACGGGCCAGCCACATAAACTGACTTGGCGGGTCGTAGTCTGCCCACCCCTGCTCTGGTCCAGTGCATTAAGTACAAACTCGAGGCATAACATTATCGCAGACGAGTGCGTTCTAAGTACAGATGCACTTGATTATTCGGTGCAGGCTTGATGTGGTGAGTACAAATTTAGAATATAAATTAGACGAGATGGAATAATGATTCATAACAGCGTCGTCTATAGATTTTGTATTGAAGTGAAGAACAGACAGACTTTAAAAAAACAGTCAACGAAGGAATGAAAGGGTGGATAAACAAATGAATGGTTAGATTAATGGATGAATGAATAAGCGACTAATTGAAAGAAAGAATGGATGAATTAAAGAATGAGTGAATGATTGAAGGAACGAATGAGCAAGTAAATGAATGAGAGAGCAAAGTAATGTACGCATCAATCGGCAAAAAATGAACTAAAGAACAGAACAGATGAAAGAAAAAAAATGAATATATAAACAAAAAATGAATGATTGAATGAATGAATAAATGAATAAATGAATGAATGAATGAATGAATGAATGAATGAATGAATGAATGAATGAATGAATGAATGTATGAATGAACGAGTGAAAAAATGAATGAATGTAACAAAACAACACTTGTATAATTAGATTCAGAAAAATTGATCGGAACAAAACAAGGCGAGTATAGCGACTGCAACATCACTATCATCATCATCATCATAGTCGTCCTCGTCGTCCTCGTCATCAAAATCGCTATAATTATTATCAGAATCATCATCAGCATCAGCAGCAGTATCGTCATCATCGTCGTCGTCATCATTCTAATCAACGTCGCCGTCCTCTTCCAGAATGCACGAATGAATGGATGTATGGATGGATGGATGAATAAATGATTGAATAAATGAACGAAAGAAACAACAGATAAATGAACAGATGAAAGAATTTAAAACAAAAACAGGTTTTAATCCAGAAGTTATGTTACAACAACGCAGTTAAAAAAATCATAAAATTTAAAACATTTTCTGAACACTTCAAGAATTAATCAACCAATTAACTAATTTAATTAACTAAATAATTAACCAATTAGTTAACTAAATAATTAATGGTTAAGAGCAAGCGCCTGTCTTGCAATTTTCAAAATGTTTAACAGAGTCAAAAAAAAACCGATTGATCACATTGAAATGAAATTTCAGGGAAACTTATCGTCAAATTCGCAAAAACACACGAAATTTCAATGTATGGATCGCATGTTACATTGATTAACAGACATAAATACATGTGCATAGATATATATACAAACCCCACACACACACACACACACACACACACACACACACACACACACACACACACACACACACACACATACATACATGCACATACAAATACCTGCACACAAATACCCAGAAAAAAAAACACCAAATACACACATACACACATGTACGTGTAGATTATTATACACGGGTACACAATCCTAGGCACACACAAACATAACACTAACTCTTTAACCAGATACACACACACACATACACACACACACACACACACACGCATGCAAACAGACACACAGGATAATAACCTAATTTTTTACTGAGTTATTTTGCATGGCTGCGTTTTTAACACAATTAACGTTCATAAATATTTTCTTCATCATCATCATCATATCATCATCATATCATCATCATCATCATTTGCAGAGGACCCAGAATTTGGAATTTTTTATTAAATAAAGGATTTAATTATGACAGATCGAACATGCTGAACTTTAATTATCATTTGAAAGCATTTATTAGTTTGATTAATTAAAATCACTAGTTTTAAGAATATAAATTACATTTTTATAAAATGTTTATGACATCATGTAAGCGCAACTGTATGTATGTGCTGATGTGTACGTAGATATTTTTATATACGTATGTGATCCTATTCTCTTCTATCTATAGCTTATATAGATAGATTCAATCAGGTATTCTATATGCAGTTTTGTATATAGAGAAATATAGACCTAACTTATTATTAGGATCAATTAGTAACATCTCAAAGCTAATACATTCCATTTAGAGAATCTGAAGTTTTTTGTGGTGCACGATGATAATATTTTATGAACAGTTAGTAACACCGTAAATATAATATACACCAATTAGAGAATCTGAAGTTTTTTGTGGTACTCGATAATTTTATTTTTACGAACAACTAGTAACAACGTGAACTTAATATATAACATTTAGAGATTCTGAAGCTTTTTGTTTGATGGGTGTGCCCGATGATTTTATTTTTGTAATCAATTAGTAACATCTGAAGTTTTTGGCTTAGGTGGCTGTGCTCGATGAGTTTTATACTAACTCCTCACAGTCAACCTGCACCTTATTTTCTTTATTGAGGTCAAATAAATTATTTCGTTTCGTTTCGTTTCGTATCATATCATCATAATCAGCAAAATCATCATAATCATCATCATAATCAGCAACATCATCATAATCATCATCATCATCGTCGTCATCACGTGATCACTAACTAACCATTTTAGTGAGATTTGGGTAGGTCTTGGATTGGAATGGAAACGACTGATCGTCGACAATGTGCCAGTGAAAGACGTTCAGCTTGTTGTTTGCCATGGACTCCTTCGGTATGTTTAAAAGTATGTATGTATGTATGTCTGGTTTTCGTTTGTTCGTTTTTTTTTGTTTGCTTGTTTGTTTATATGTTTGTCTGTCTGTCTGTTTGTATGTATTCTGTATTCGTCATTCATAAAATCCCTTCCACACAAACACACACGAACTGACACACATAACGCTAAAATACACACACACACACACACACACTTACATACGCAACAAAGAACATATACAAATTCAAACAGGCACACGCACACACACTTACACACACACACACACACGCACGCACACACTCACACACGCACACACACTCATTCAGAGCTAACCAGATTCTCTAGAATAGTTTGAAGACTCAGGTAGTGCCTGGAGGTATCGAGAAGAACTCCTCTGTGCTTGAACCTTGGATAGTCCTTCACATAGGTCTTATTTATCCAATACTGTTGTTGGTGGCGTGAATTAATTAATTAGACCCAATTATATACCCAATAAGTATTATTAATTAGTTGATAATTGTAACAGGAATGAATCTTATTTATCCAATACTGTTGTTGGTGGCGTGAATTAATTAATTAGACCCAATTATATACCCAATTAGAATTATTAATTAGTTGATAATTGTAACAGGAATGAATCTTATTTATCCAATACTGTTGTTGGTGGCGTGAATTAATTAATTAGACCCAATTATATACCCAATTAATATTACCAATTAGTTAATTAGTAACATGACAATTGTAACAGGAATGAATAACTATTTGAATGATCATCATGCCAATTTTTATAGCGCACATTTCACGGCAGAGTTAAAGCTTTTTTTAACAGCCATTTCTCTGTCCAACTTAATAAACACCATCTTCATCCTCATCATCTTAATCGTCATCTTAATCATCTTCGTCATCATCTTAAAGGTTAAAGGTTTCTCTCTCTCTCTCTTTTGCGTTTGCTTCAGAGGTTTCAACGACAAACACACACAGCGTACATGAATACGCGTGCAAATCAAGCATCATACACATTGCATATGATAGGCGGGGATCTCTTTGTATTCGAACCCAGTCATTGCAATAGCAAGACCAGGCGCCTTTAACCATTGAGCCATCACCAGTCCCCTCATCATCATCATCATCATCGCCATGATGACCTGCATGTAGTCACCCTCCTTCTGGTAGACCAGCTGACTGAACGTTTCCAAGCCCCTTAGAATGCCCCAGACCTCCATGGCAGATAGGGTGAGACCTGTTTTCGAAACCTTCAGGACATCTGGGGTGAGAGTGATGACGAAGGTGATAACAGTGATGACGAAGGTGATGACAGTGATGATGAAGATGATGATAACAGTGATGATGATAATGATGATGACAGTGATGATGATGATGATGATGATGATAACAGTGATGATGGTGATGATGATGACAGTGATGATGATGATGACGATGGTGATAATGAGAACGAAGACTCTGATGATGACAACGTTAATAATGAATGTGATGACGTCAGAAGTGACATAAACATCACAAACAGCAACATACTCATTATTATAAACAACATAAGGAAAACAACAACACAAAAAACAACACAAACAACAACACAAGGGCAACAACACAAGCATCAACATCACAACAACTACACAACAACCAACACGACTCGTCCATAAGCAGATGTGGCATCATCTCACACGGTTTCTGCATCTTGATCACCATCTTCTTCAGCAGCACACCACTCTTACTACCATCGCCATCAACAACCACATCCTCATCATGGTGGGAATCACCATTACTATCTCCACTACTGACCACATTACCATCTCGGTCCACCAAGCCGGCATTTTTATCCCAACCCCCGCCGAACGTAATCTTCTTTATTCGGTCGATTGCATGGTTTAATACGGAACATTCCGGATCTAAATTACTGTCTACTTCCGATTGCTGCTGCTGCTGTTGTTGCTGCTGCTGCTGCTGAGAATCGCGTTTGTTGTTGTTGCTGCTGCTGAATCCGGCGTTGTTAGCATCATTAAAGTCGTTATTTGTGCTGGGAACATCGACAACATCCTCGAGTTTAGGAACGAAATTGACGCTAAAGACAACATCCCGACTGACCCGTAATGCTATTTTTGTCGGGTTGTAGACCTGGGGCATGGGCCAGGGCGTGCCGGGAGATAGCTTGGGAGTGTAGCGAATGAGGAAACGACTGTCGGCGGACGCTTTAAGGGCATAGTAGTTTACACCGAAGTTGAATTCTGCGTCCTCTCTTACGATTGGATTGACTCGAGGTTCTGGAACCGGGTACGAGATGTTGAATTTCATGTTGTTGTTGCCGTATTTGAAGTTGTTGTTGTTGCTGTTGACGACATTGACGTTATTGTTGATGTTATTGTTGTTGATGTCGTTGTTGCTGTTGATGTTGTTGTTGACGTTGATGTTGTTGTTAGTATCTTTGGGGTATCCATTGTTGATGTTATCAATGTTGATATTATTGTTATTTGATGGCGTTTGCTTTTGGACATTATTGTTGTTGTTGTCATCGTTGTTGATGATATTGTTATTAATGTTATTGTTGTTAATGTTGTTCTGGTTGGCTGTTGCAGTTCCTGATGGATAATATCTCAACCTATCTTTTGGTACAAATGGTTCATTCTGCAGTTGTTGTTGTTGTAAACTGTTGATGTCATCATTATTGTTGTTGATGTTAACGTTATCATTATTATTATTATTATTATTAACGTTGTTGTTGTTGCTGTCTCTTATGATGTTGTTGTCATTAATTTGTACCTGTGGTCTGTTGTTGTCTAACTGTTGTTGCAGCTGTTGTTGCATCTGCTGCTGTTGTTGCTGTATTTGTTGCTGTTGCTGCTGAAGATGTTGTTGTTGTTGCAGTTGTTGCTGTTGGATTGCTTGAGGCAAATCTCCAACAATATTATTATTGTTATAGTTATTATTATTATTGATGTTGTTGTTGTTACTATTTAAAACGTTATTATTATTATTAATGTTGTTGCTGTTTTTGTTGTTGTTGTTGTTGAAGTCATTAACGTTATCTATTTTGTTGTCGCTGCGGCTTGCTGAAAAGACATAATGAGGGGGCAATCATAAATTCAATTAATTTATCACCCATACATCTTTATAATGTATAACAATAATTTACTATAACAATAATAATAATAATAATACATCAAAATGAATATGAATATGAATGTTATGAAGCCATGAGGTACAAAAAACATCAATGATAACAATAATAATGTTATCATTAACGATAATAATAAAAATACAAAAATCTAATTAAAACTTCCCAAACTAGAGGGAGAGCAGAAATTGCAGACACTATTTAACAGTGAAACAAACCAACACACATTCACACACACATACCGACACACACACACATACCGACACACACACACATATACCGACACACACACACACACACACCGACACACACACACAAACACACCGACACACACACACCGACACACACACACGCATATACGGCTCACATATGTCGACACACACACACACAGACACACACCACACACACACAAAACATACACAAACAAGCACGCATATTTACAGCACATTTATATAATCATTATTTTTATCATCATAAGAGAATAAAAAAGAGAGAGAAAGAGAGAGAGAGGGAGAGAGAGAGAGAGAAGAAACAGTACAATTATTTTTCCATAATTAAATTATTATTGAACAGATGAGATGAGAAGATGAATGTAGACAATAAAAAATAACAGGGCAAATGTAATAAATAATCAATCTATTAGGAAATGCCTGCTACTCTGCCCACACATACACACACACAAGCACACGCACGCACGTACACGCACACAATTGTTGGCTAGCACACACATACGCATACATAAACGTACGCATGTATATACAAGCAAAAATTTAAAAACAGAGGAAATGAGTAAGTGCATGGGTGGGTGCATATCATACAAAGGGAATGAGAGGTGGAAAGAAAGAGAGAGAGAGAGAGAGAGAGAGAAAGAGAGAAAGGAATGAATAGAAAAAGAATGAACGAGAGAAAGAGGAAAAAAGTAAGTAAAGAATTAGAAATATAAACAAAGATAGGCTGCATGTAAAAAAGAACTTCATTTGACCTTCTTCGAATGCAAGTCTGGTGAACCTAGGAAAATACAATCATCACCCAAAAATATTCATACATATGTGTGTGCGTATGTAATGAATGTGTGATTGCTTGTGTGTGTATGTGCATGTATGTATGTGTGCGTGTGTGAGTATATGGTGTACGTGTTTATGTATGTATGTGTGCATGTATTTGTGCGTGTGTGGTGCGTGCGTGTGTGTGTGTGTGTAAATATTTAATAATAATAATAGCTAGAGCCACAGGGCAGTATTATTTACAATAGGCAAATTTTATAAGCAATGAATGAATGAATGAATAAATGACTGGATGACTAACTCAATGAATGAATGAATGAAAGAATGAATGAAAGAATGAATGAAAGAACGAATGAAAGAACGAACGACAGAACGAACGAACGAACGAACGAATGAATGAATGAATGAATGAATGAATGAATGAATGAACGAAGAAAAAATTCAATAGCAATAAAATAACACCATCTTAAAATGATAACAATAAATGGTTATAATAATGACAACAGTAACAGCAAAAATAGTAGTCAATAGTAGTATTTACTTTCATCATTAAAATTAATATTATCATCATCAACATCATCGTCGTCATCATCATCATCTTTATCATCATCATCATCACAATCATTATCATCCTCATCGTCGTCGTCGTCATCGTCAATATCTACTAACCAACATCTTTAGCAGCTAGAGCTAATGTTTGTTGGACAGAGAAGATGCAGATGATGATGGCAGTTGAGAAGATGAGTGAAAATGATGAGAAATATGA